AGACCTCTCCCTTCCTGAGCAGAGCAATGACACCTCCACTACGGGCAAAGCTGCATGCACTATGGACAGCTAGCCTTGCCACCCTCGCAAATAAGCTGTGTTATCCTTTCACTAACTCGGGGCCTGGTTGTTTTGATCAGGCAAGCAGCAAGACTTAGACTCACGCCTATGCGAAGCCCCTTCTGGAGATGAGATGGATAAAAGTCAGCTATGTTGCTGATAAGCTTTTTGTTGCCAGTGTGGACACTCATAAAAATTCTCTACACTGACAAAGGGGAACCTAACCAATGAGCAGTCTGTGTTTGTCTAATAAATGTAGAGACTGTTATCCTGCACCTCAGAGCATACAGTTGTGTGACCAGTTGCCTCCTGGATTTGCAGGAGGATGGCTCATGAAGATTCAGTCACCGTCCTGGACTGGGCTGACGTCAGAAGATACTGAAACACCATGGAAAACCAGTCCTGCCTGCCAGCTTCTGGACAAGACTAAAATTACTTCCCAGGGACAAATCTGTCCACCCACCAGCAGGATGTTCTTAGCAAGCAGATCACATTGGGTGTCTCATCCATCAAAACTCTGGCTGGATCCTGGCTACACCTTGCACTTTCTCCAGGTTTAGCCTAATCATCTCTCGACTTCCCATTGACTTGGGCCACATTTGTTTCCAGTTCAGATTCACTAAGCACATTGCATCTAATAATGGCTTGCAGCCTAAGCTACACATCGGCGGGCACAATCGAGGGGCACAACATGGACTCCCCATGCTGCGTGTCACCCCAACCTGCAGGGATGGTTGAGTGTTTTCACGGACAGCTAAAGATCAGGTTTAAGTAGTTATTGGGGAAATTAAGATAATCCTGTCCTATCGTACACATCTCAGGTGAATATTCTAGGGTCTCGCAGCATCTCCCTAAAGGGTAGGAATGGTTCGTACATGTTTGACCAAGCTGTACAGCCTTTTCTTTCAGTTGTATACTCCTCTTTTGCAATTATTTACATATCAGTCTCCATGGGGGTCCTTTAAGGACCTTGTGTAGCCTTCGATCATTTCCTGAAGACTCAAATCAATGCCACATCAGGGTGCCCATTAAAAAGCAAGTGTTGGGAGACACTAACCTTCTCCATTCACTCTCCTGATCATGAGTTTTGCCTACATGGACCTCAACAGTAATGACCATGAATTTGAGATCTCAAGTTCAGTATTTTCCTTAAGGTGGCTTTGGCAGTTTGCCACTGTATCCTCATAGGATGGATCAGTATATTAAGTAGAAATAGTTACTGAACCACTGAAGGATCCAAACTACAAGACTTGGATGCACATCCCAGCACTAGATCAAATGGGGTGGACTATCCTTGCTTGTAACGTAGGACAGACTGTCAATATCTGCATCAATGAGAGGAATTACCCTAACTGACAGGACAAAACCAACAGGGAGCCTAAAAACATGAATACAGGGGAGAGAGAGAGAGAACATCTGATGTCTTTTTCCTGTCTTTCAGAGTATCCTATATGACTCTGCCTCACTAAATTTATTGGTACACCAGTCCTGGGCAGTTGACTTAGGCTTGAATTTAATAAACTATTAGATATATCACCCACTTTCCAATCCTGCAGATAAACACGTCTTTACTATGCCACTGAATACCACAAGCACATATTTGTCTAACTTCGGATGTTTCTGGTAGTTCAAGCACCTCAACCTCATTAATTTGGATCCTGTGAATTTCTATAGCAGGACTCTAATAACAAGAGCAAACCTGCACAATCTCAACTCACTCATATCAAAGATGGGGTAAGAGGAACACTCTGAGGAGAGATACAGGACCACTATCAGGGTTGTTCTGGCCATGATGGTAGTGGCCTTATCCTGTGCTACCCTCTTCCCCGCCCCACAGGACCCACTAGTTCCACTCAAGGGCTCTTTCCACCAGGAGACTCTATGGTATTCAAAGATTCTTACACTCCCAGCACTTTGTGTACCCCTTGAAATACCATTTTATTTTTTTAAAACTCTGTTCTATGAATATAGTAGCACACATAAGGAACACTGATAAGAGATTTTATTTCTTAATACTTAAAATAGTGCTTTCCCAATTGAGCACATTATACTATACCAGATAAGTTGGAGGCTCCAGAGCCAGGCAGTCCCAGTTACCAAGGAGAGCTTCTAGATGGTGTTACTAACCTCTGCTCACATGTGCACTCTAGGAAGTTATTTTTCCTATTGGGAATCCAGTTAGAAAAAGTTATGTTCAACATAGATGCATAAACCTCAATTTCCCACTGGCCAGTCAATAAAAGACCTATGCAATTGCCAGTACTTCATCTGGCACCTGCATCAGTGAAACCAGCAAGAAAAAGTAGTTTATTATTAGTCACAGCAAAAGACCTCTTAGCTCCCTGGAATACATCCCAATGGCTACATGCCCATTTTTCTTGGTTGTTAATATTTGGGGCTCATGGCCTTGAAGTTGACCTGGTCATCCTACTTAGAGTGACCTTGAGCATGACCCTAGCCTGCCATTGCCTCTGACCAAATGGCTCTGGGCTCATCCTCTTATTGTCCAGGTCATTTAGCTCTAGGGCCCTAAAGAATCAAGGAGTAGAGTTGAATATTCTGGATTTATGGCTAAATCCTGCGTGTGATCCCTTGTTAGTCAATCATGAGGCTCTGTGTAGCAGGCCCCAGGAGGCAGAGCTGTGCCCACATCAGGCTTGATGCAGAGCCAATAAACTATGGGGCTTTGGGAGCTGAGTCAAGGGCTTCCTGGCCAGTCCTCCCAGCACAGGCATCTGCATTCCTCCTTATCAGTGGCCAGGACCTTCTCCACTTGACTCAGTACAATTCCTCTCCTAACCCTTAGGGAGCCAACTGTTTGCTTCAAAAAAACCACTTCAATGTCAACTTGACTTGTCCTCCTAATTGGCCACTTTAACACCTGATTGTTCAATAGGCTGCATATAAATTTAAGGATGAATTCATGTAAACGACTCAGGACAGTGCCTGACAACCATGACCTCTTTCCTGTTTTCATCTATCTTGTCATTAAATGCATTAAAAGGATGCTTAGGATTAACAGAAGTTTAAGTCTTATCCTGAAATACTAAGGTGCTAGATTTCTAATAGTTACGGGTGTTTTCATAATGACATATTCATGATATATAAATGAAAATTTGGGTGTACATTTCCAACAACTTGACATAAAATTGGAAAGATTCCTATTTTTCAAGACTGAGCAAAATGATGGAATGAGTAGTTTCATTTTTTTTTTTTTTTGGTACTGGGAATCGAACTCTGGACCTTGGGCTTGTGAGAAAGGTGGTGGAACCACTGGGCTAAATCCCCAGCCCATCATTTTTTAATTTGATTTAGCAAAACTTCTCTTGGGCCAGAGATTTAGCTCAGTGGTTCCAGCACCAGCCTCGCAAGCGCAAGGTCCCGAGTTCAATCCCCTTTACCAAAAAAATAAAATAAAAACTTTTCTCTATATATTATGTCTTATTACTCTGTTTTATGAATATGTCCTGACTTCCAAATTCACCCCCAATTACCAGGCTCTTCTATTTTAGATTGATTTTATGCACTGTGTGATTGGAGCACCATCCTTTGGTCTATTGCTTTCCGTTGACAACAGGGAGAGATTAACCAGTAGGTACTGCATCAAGAATTTCCCTTCTTTGTAAAACACCTGTTTTTGTTTCTTTGGGTTTTTTAAAAGCTATTTTTGCAGGAACTTTGTTTGCTCTTGGTTTCTAGAAATTTTCATCCACATAAATTTAATGAAAAAAATACTTAGAGTGAAAGAATTGATGTAGAAAGGACATAACCTTCGCGTGTATAAGACACCTGTTGATTTGAGAAATGATAGCAACTCAGAATAAACTACCTTATAAATTACCAGAAATCAGTGATACCTTCTTTTCAGAGAAGGCAAATGGAAACATTTCCTTATGAATTGAAAACAAAATCTCACTCTCTTCCATTCAGGAATAAGTATATTCTATCTTGTGTCAGCAAAGCCCCTCGGGGGTCTACTAGAAAGGGAAACAAGGTAGAGTAGAAAACAGGGAGAATGGATACAGCAGGATATTACTGGGAGAGATTATTTTTCTACTCCATTACCCGAGAAGGAACAGCCTTTGAAACACATAAATTTTCTCTTCAGTTCTCCCTCAGTGTTTCTCATAAGAGAATTCAATCTCCACACCCTCTAGTGAGAAGAGTCATCCTATGTGCTTGGGGTGTGGGGGTGCTGGTCTCCCCTGGTTTCTTCCTGGTCCCAGGTCTCTGCATCATGGAAGCTCAGTGAGGCAGGGACTCCTCCCTCTGACTGGTTGGGTAAATCAAGGAAGGGCAGAGATTTCAAGGAGTCTCATTTTGACAACTGAACCAGGAATAAAGAATATATTGTGCTTAGGGTGCCCTCCTTGCCTTTTTTGTCAACTGGTTCATAATCCAAAGGCTAAGATTCAAGTATTTAAGAGGACTCCTAAAAACATACAGTTTTTGAAAGGATTCTTCAAAAGCTGCTAATTAACCCACTGCTTTGTAAGTCAAGATTTTTGGAAAGTGGAGATTTATTATTGGTTCAAAGCTAACAAAAATGAAGTAGAAACGATCTGGAATCTTATTTTGTCTTTGAATTTCAACTTCCTCTTATGAGCGAGATAGATGACCATAAGAATTCAAACTGGCTTGAAATAACAATAGAAAAAGGACAAACAGAAAATACGTAGGGAAGACAGTAATAGAGAATAGCAAAATCTGCTCTCCTCTCCACCAGCTAGAGAGAACTTTCATTTCACCTTATGCTGCACCCATCACCAGGAGGAAGTGATACAAACATTAATACAAACTGGAGTGCATAGAATCGCCCTCAGTTATCATTCAGAGACCCACATAATAGTCTACGGCATCACACGGGTCAGGGTGTAACTTTTTCCAAAGAATAAAAAAGTTATTAAGAATTTCAAATCTTTATTTTAAAAAATTCCTTCATTACAAGCTTAAACTCTGAAGAAGCTCTTGCCCCCACACACACCAAAATGTTCATAAATACAGACTGCAGAGGAAATTTAAAATGGTAATTTTAAAACAGGTAGAAAATGAAATCCATAGGCATTAGCCCATTCTCCAACAGGCAGGACAGTCCTCAGGAGCCACAGTTCCGGGGTCACTGTGGCTGCCTCTCCCTCCTGCATTCACAGATAAATTTCCATACTTAACCGGGAGGGAGAAATTGGATATGGTCCTGCAATACTGCTGTAAGAAAAGAAAAAAAATTCATGAAGTAGCACTGGTGGGAAACAAGTGTAGAACTCCTAGGGTCGCTGAAGCTCAACAGGTGAGAGCCGGGGAGAAGAGAGTACTCGTTCTACCCACGTAATGGTCTACCCGGGCACCATGCGAGCAGCGCCCCATACTGACTCCTAGGGTTGCTCAGACAGGTGTCACTTCAACCACTGGATTCTTATACTGGATAAGTTTGATAAAATTGTCATTTTAGTATTTCCTGTTGTATTATAATAATTAACAAAAATATGCAAATTTTGGCCATCTTGTAATTAAACAATTGGACTGGTAATTGGCTAAAGCCCATAACTCATAGAATATTTTAATATTCTATGATTCAAGCATAGCAGTTCTGTTACTTATGTATACCTTTATTAATAAAACACTAATATTTCATAAGAGCAATGTCTCAAGTTTTTATTTAAAAGCACCAAATTGATGTAGAATAAAAGGTGTAGCCCATCTGAGATACTGAAATCTAAAGGCTGTAGGCCATTTTTATAGCTTAATTGGAAAGAGATTTATCTTACATTCCAAAATAAAAGGTGTTACTAAAAAAAACAGCTGATGTTAGAGTTAGCATTCATGTTAACTACCACATCTATGAAAATTCCCAATCCCATGCATATGTACATCACAAAGATTTTTCTCTTGCTGGTTTGACATTGATAAAATAAAATATCTATTGAGAGCATAGTAACAAAACTGTTACCTAAAAGGATAAAAAGAAGTACTTTGGCCTATTATATCCGTAATTATAAAAATTTACAGTTATTTATTGGAATCAGGATTTTAAAGATATGTTAGCACTCCTGTTTGAATCCAGCACTGTTCACATCAACCAACATGTGGAAACAGCCTAGCCTAAATGTTCACTGCTACATAGATAAAGAGAACATTTCACATACACACACACACACAATGGAATACCATTCAGCCTTCTTAAAGAAAATTCTGCAATGTGTATCAATATGTGAGAGCATTATGCTAAGTGAAACAAAGTCAACTGGAAAAAGACAAATACTGCATAATTGCACATATAGGAGGCATTTAAAAAGTTAAAGCTTTTCCCATCCATATTCCTTTTACTTCTCTCTCTTGTCTAAATGCTCTGGCTAATGTTTCCAAAACTATTCTGAGCAAGAATGGTGATAATGGGCATCCTTGTCTTGTTCCTGATTGTAGAGTGAAACTTTCCAGCTTCTCTCCACTTATGAGGACGTTGGCCGTTGATTTGTTATAGATGGATTTTATCAGATTGAGACAAAGACCTTGTATTCCTATTTCCTTTAGGGTTTTTATCATGAATGGATCCTGGACTTTCTCAGATGATTTTTCTGCCCCTATTTAGATGATCGTGTGGCTTTTGTCATTGACTCTGTTTATGTGCTGTGTTAACATTTGTTGATTCTCATATGTTGAACTGTCCCTCCATCCCTGGAATGAATTGGAATCCTACTTGGTCATGGTGTATAATCTTTTTGATCATTTACTGCATTCTGTTTGCCAATACCTTATTGAGGATTTTTGCATCTATGTACATTAAAGAGATTGGCCTATAATAGAATCAACAAATGGGATCACATCAAACTTAAAAGTTTTTGCACACCAAAGGAAACCACCAACAGAGTGAAGAGACAACCCACAGAGTGGGAAAAACTTTTGCCAGCTGTCCTCAGACAGAGGCCTAATATTTAGAATATGTAAAGAGCTCAAAAAATTAGGCCCCCAAATTTAAACATCCAATCCAAAACTGCATCTGAAATGAACAGACAATTCTTAGATGAAATACAATCAGCAAATGAAAAACTGTTAACATCGCTGCATATTTGAGAGATACAAATTTAAAACAGAGATTCCATCTCACTCCAGAAAGAATGGCTATTTATTATCAAGAAATCAAGGGCTGGGGATTTAGCTCAGTGGTTCCGCCTCCTGCCTCGAAAGCGCAAGGTCCCGAGTTCCATCCCTGGTACCAAAAAAGAAATCAACCAATAATAAATGCTGGCAGGGCTGTGGGGGAAAAGTAACCCTTCTGCATGGTTGGTGGGAGCATAAATTGGTAAAATCACTATGGAAATCCTCAAAAACCTAAAAGAAGTCCTATTTGACCCAGCTATTCCCCTTCTAGGTATCTTCCCAAAAAAGCTAAAGTCATCATACCACAATGATATATGCACACTAACATTTATAGCAACACAATTTATAATAGCTAAATCTTGGAAACAGCCCATATGCCCATCAACAGGTAAATGTATAAAGTGGTATTTATATACAATGGATTACTACTCTGCCGTAAAGAATAAACTTGAGATATTTTTAGGTAAATAGATTTGTGAGCCATAATCTTAAGTGAAATAAATCAGACCCACAAATTTAAATGTTGCATTATTTCTCTCATGTGAGAAACCTAAAGTGTAAATAAGGAGCAAAATGGAGTACGAATATTAGGAAAGACGAAGAACTTATTCAAATAGGAAAGCAAACAAGGGAGGGTGAAGGAGGAAGGGAAAAAATGGAAACAGAGTTTTTGTTAATGAGGAGGGGAAGAAGGGCTGAAGGGAAGAGAGGGAATGGTAAAAAAAGAATTGATATGTTATGTACAGGTACAAATTCCCAATGATGAATGTGGTCATTATGTATGGCAAACATATACTAAGAAAATGTTAATTAATTTTAAAAGCTGATCTACAGAGACATGGGGTAGGATGGTAGTTTCCAGAGAAATGAGTAGTTAACTAATTAATCAGTATAAGGTCTCATTTGAGAAAGATGCATAAGCGTTAGAGATCTGCTGCACAACACTGGACCTGTAGATTCAAGAATGATGTATCGCACACTTAAAAATTTGTTAAGGTAGATCTCAAGTTAAGTATTCTTACCACAATAAGTAAAGTTTTTAAATGAATCAATAATTAATCATCACAGTAATCCTAAGCTGAAATAGCAATGGGCACATGATATACAATGTGTGATTCATGTCACCTTTTTCAACCCGGGCCATTTTTCATAAATCTACCGTGAAACCTGTAGCTTAGTGAGAAGACAATATACCCACCTTACTGCCCCTTCTGGGCGGGTCCCTGTGTTTTTTGCTTCAAGTAACCTTGAACTCTTCTTTCTGGCTGGTTTTTTGGACGCGTCGCCCTTATCGTCTTTTACCTTTTTCGAATAATTTAATGTAAATGATCTGAATGAGAGAAGTCATTATATAGAGATTTGAGACTTGTACATATACTGTTTGGGGAGAGAAGAGAAGATTGTAGTAAGGGGAAAGAAGCCAAATTAGACAAGATCTTTGGGTGAGGAGTGATAGAATGCTAAATCGACTAGCTTAGGCAAAAAAAGGAAATTTGTATTTTAGAGAAGAAAGCATTCTTAAAGGCATGTTGAATGGAACTTCTCATTACCTCGTAAAAATGCAAATGGAGCCCAAAACTGGTTTAACTGAAATGCCAGATGCCAGAAATTCTAAGTGGCCAGAGCCACTCTGTCATCTCTAGTCATCTTGCTACATGTCTGCAAAACACGATTACACAGACAGCTCTGAGTTCTTGGCCTATATGGAAGGATGAAGGAATCACTGAAATTCTATTTCCTTCTACAAAGCCAGAGGAAAGTGTCTTAAATCAAGCCCGCAAAACTGTGGGTACTCAGAGCAGGAGACTGGTGTCTTCCTCCCATGAGGCTGTCTGCTTGTTTGCGGACCTGCCCAAGGGAGGAAAGGTGGAGGACAGAGAAACATGTGAGCAGACATTCTCCCAGACAGTTCAGTAGAGCATGGCAGTCAGTTTCCCACCACACACCCAGCTCCCAGCTCTTCACTGTGGGCACTGCCCAGGAATGCTTGTCAGCTGGAGAGGAAACTGTCCCAAAAAACAAGATGCCAGAATAACGAATCAACAACCACCCAGAACAGAGATGGAGTAGTGTGAAATGGAAAAAGCCTTATCTAGATTTTCCTGTTAGGAATCCTACAGTTGAGACAATCTGCCCTTGTAGGGCTTCCTCGAGAACCTCATTTATTCATAATTTGAAATATGTTAGGCTTCAGCACACAGGGCATATATTTAGCTGGTATCACAGTTGCACCATGTAATTCAGTACCAGGTGGACTTCGCAATCTCTTTCATCCACTCTCATATTTGCATACATGATGGCAGGAAAAGCAAGGAAGTATCCAGAGATTATGGTGAGCTCTGCTTGCCTCCAAATTCTTTGTGCAGAGTTGGAAGTATGAGAGGAAGGAAGCATTCAGTTGTATATGTGATTGAGGATATGACCTATAATTAATGTTTTCATGCATCTATGAGAAGGATCAAAGGTGGTATGGAATAGTAGAAGGGAATTTCACATAACATTTGAAATTCAGTGACTGTAAAATAAATACAACTGTCTAGTTTTCATTTTTCTCCATGGGGCTCAGACCATTGATACTGAAACCCCAAGTGCATAGAACCTAGCTCTGCATCTATAGACTCTTCTGTTTCATTCTCTCACAGAAGAAATTATTTCCATCAAGAGAGAAAGCTCCTCTGTAGCAGGTCATGATTTTTATATCACATTATACATCAGAGATTTATTCCATTCTACTTTGAAAATGTTGGAGGAATACTCCACTTTTGAGTCTTTTCTAGCTCTAACCTAACCATTTCCAAGGAGATAGAATGATTCACTCTAACGGCTCCTTAAAATTTTAGGCATTGGTATGGGGAAGATTAGGGATGGTAGGTATAGAAGTGGAACACCTAAGAAAAGGAAGGTTTACCAAAAATGTCAAAATGGTTGTGCATAATACAGACACATCTTGGTGCTTTACCATTTTGAAACCTGTTGAATTTGGTACTCAATGCATTTTTGACATGAAAATTTTGTTCCAGTATTCCTCATATACTCAACTTGTTCAGAACCATACTAGCAAGCTAGAGTTTGTAGGTAGTAATGCCCTGGTGACTCACCCTTTCCAGCCAAAATAATTTTTTGGTAGTCATCATTTTTGGTAGTTGTTGCATCTTCTAGAACCAATTAACAAGTACTGAGGACCCAATGTACTACTGTTGACTCTATAACACTTAGGACTTGGCTAAACAGTATAAACAGACAATTCTAACTGCATAGCATATAAACCTCAGAACCCTCTGTTTTCCTATCAACTGCTTTCAGCAATCATTAACCCTGATCCACTAAAATTTACAGTGTCTGACCCATTCACATAAGGATTACCAGCACCTCTTGGTATTTATAGTGATAATTTAAGGCAGATTTGAGAACATGGGATCTTGAACAAGAAAGTTGACATTTGACTCAATACTGTCAGCTACCAGTGTATTACTGGTAGCCTCTCCTCCTTCAGAAAAGGCCCTGACAGAATCAACTGAATTTTGAAAGATCGACCTACAGGATTAAGCAGAACTCTGCAGATCACACAGGACCCTAATGTTCAACCACAGCATTTACAGGTTTACTCTAGGAACACCTGGCATTTGATTTAATGTCAGGTAACCTTTATCTCAGTGGTCTATGATGCTTACCTTTGAATATAGCACGATATTGGTAAGAAACCCCAGACATCTGAATTTTCCGGTTCATAATTGATTGAACTTTCAATGAGAATACCCCATAAGCGTACCTAAACAGGTGAAGAGTATAAAACTGGTTGTTTTCATTATGTCTGGATGTTAAACTGAATTTAAAAATCATATTCTATAATTGAAACACAAAGCAGAGTCAAAAATGAGCAAGCATTTGCCTTACCCCTACAGTGGGATCGAATCGGTACTTGCATATTAGTCACCTGAAATTGGACTATTTAACATCTTAAAATATGCTGTTCAAGGGCTTGTTAGCACCTTAGATTGCACAAGTTCAAATTCTATATTTAACATTTGTTCTTTTTGTGAACAGAGAGAAAATAATTCCAAACCCTTGACCTATAAAAGGATCTGGTAAGAATTTTTAGGGTTGAGTGTCACACACATATTTATTACATATTAAAGACTTTGAATTTCATCTTACTTGTTCACACATGGGAATATATTGACCCATGTGCCTGAGAGTCCTAGGTAAGTAGATATTAGGAATAACTTGATTTTTTAAAAATCCATCACATAATCAAATACCTGTTTCTCAATTTCCCTTGAAAAAGGATCTCATATCTTTTACTTTCCCTGGGTTGGTCCTTTTTTTCAGGCAGTTTCTTTGCTCAGGATTTGCAAAGTGAAACTTCAGGACCTAACTGCTTCCAATATCTATCTGCTTTCTAATGGAAAAGACCAATCCTCTTCACTAAAAAATCCTGTAAACCTATCAGAAAGATTCTGCTAGCTGTGGAATTATTCCACTGAATAATCAGTATTATCTGAACCACTCATTCCACAGGTATTTATTAAGTGCCTACATTTTATTTAACAAGTGTTTGTACAAAGCTTGAGATATGGAAAGCATTGGGAGATTCAGGGGAGATCAAAGTCATGGGACATATATTTGGATCCAAGAGTAAAATCAGTCCACCTAAATTATCTGAGGAGGATCAGAAAATATAGTGAATGTTTAGATTTTTTTTTTAGAAGACACAATGTCATTAATCCCCCTCAAAATACTTCCTCTGGCTCTAAACACAATTATCACATTGTTCCTGCCCCTTCCTGAAGCAGTTCTGGAAGTCCTATTTTGTAAGTGTCTTTAGCTGCACTATTGTGGCTACCGCAATGTCCTGAATTAATTCAAAACATTTGCTTTCCATCATGTATTTCTACTTTGGGGAAGAGCCTGAAGTCCCACAGTGTGACTCAGCGAATAAGGAGGGCGAGTTCGCACCATCGTGTGTTTTACAAACCTCCCTTTCCACCGGGTGGCACTCGGCAACAGCATTCACTGTGTATTTGATCACAGCTTGTAAAGACAGGAAAGCAGATTTCTGGAACTGCTTCAGAAAGTGGCAAGAATGATGGGACAAGTGTGTTCAAAGTGGGGTGTTACCTGAGGGGGATTCGTGCCAATGTGTCTTTTACGGGACTAAATTTTGTATGTAAACATAACTGTAACAATTTTTTAAATTTACTTATTCAACATCTATTTTAATCTCACCTCTATAAGCTAAAGCTGAGTTGGTGTGGGACCAAAATGGAAAACCAAGCTGCCATTACCAAATCTAGCAGGAAGCCAATGTAAAGCAACATCACCAGATGTGAGAGGCAGAGGGGCTCAGCACTAAGACCCATTTAAATTCAGGGCTCCGTTGCTGTGTGACGTGTTACTCTGCTTCTATGTCTTCATCTTTAAAATGGGCATGACACTGTCTAAGTATCAGGGTACTGTGAAGGTTACATAAACCACCTGACACCAAGTAAGGCCGATTAGTTAAGTGAACATAACCTGCACTAGGTATTATGTGGCTGAAGGGAACTGAAGCCTCTAAAATGCTCATCAGGACAACAGGAGCATAATTGCTTAATAATGTTGCTTATTTCTCTCACTTTGAGCTAGGCACTTTCCCTCTTTGCCCCTCTCTCTCTCTCTCTCTCTCTCTCTCTCTCTCTCTCTCTCTCTCTCTCTCTCTCTCTCTCTCTCTCTCTCTCATACACACAGACACACACACCTAATGATCCATTTTATGTGGAATAGTTAATGCAACCTCAGAAAAGACTGATTCCCCTTTAACTATACAGCAGCTATGTAACTTTTTATTCCCTATTTCAGTTGAAATTTTTAGACACTGACAACCAGGTGGGAGTTTGTCAGGATGTTTCAAACTAAAATGTTTTGCTCTGTGTAGACTTTATCACAGAGAATATAGGATCTCACCATCAAAGGCAAGAAAAATACATTGAAGAAGTTACATAAGTAAGTGCACCATAGGTAAAGCTCCATGTTTTACCTGCCATCTTTTCTGTTGTGAAATGATCCAAAAACTAAAGATAATCAATATTATATCAGCTAAAAATTAGTTTACAGTTAACTTTAATGACTGTTTTGTAACACTGAAAATAAAACCGAAGGACATTGTTGAAATGATAACTTTTCTTACTTCAGCTCTGATTCCACATTGAGAGATAGAATAAAAAAACTCATAGTAACCCATGGGCCTTCCGGTTGCAGCACAGCGAGTTCCTAGATACAGCTCAGATGGCCGGGGCTCCTGGTGATTCCCGAGAACCTGCCATTTAACTCTCACCCGCAGCCACTGTTCACTACAGGTTATAATCACTGATGAAAGAAAGAAATGAAAGTGTCATATATCCTGTCCGTCTCCAAACAATAGCTCAGAAAACATTTAACCTCTGATCAGCCTGGATCTCAACTCTAGCATGAAAATGGTATGATTCTATTTATATATTTCCCACTGTGTGATCTTGGATAAGTTCTCTCCATGGCTCAGTCTTTTCATCTGAATGGAGAAAAACCACAGAGGCTCATAAAACAATTTTTCACCAGGTTCCCTAGAGAGTATTCGAATGTCATCTACAAATAGACATCAAGAATACGTTGTTGAAGTATATCCAAGTACACTGGATATAGACCTGAAATGCTTCAATGCTTGGTCATAAACACTTGGAAAAACACTTGAAAAAGCAATTAGATGCTTTCCTTTTAATGTTTAAGTCAATTATACCTCATTACCCTATGGCAAACTAAAGTCTTCTACTCAAATAAAATAATATTTAACATTATTATAAATATACATAATATGATAATATTTAAAATTTCAGCACCCTGAAGTCACCTTGTTGGGGATTCAAGAGGAAGAACGGTGTATCTGAGTGGAGAATGGCAATGGCTAGCTTCTAGCAGATGATCACCAGATTATAAAATACTAATTCCCAAAGTCAACCTTATGTAAGAAAGCATACCACTGCCAGAGAGGCCTCACTACAGAATTCCCTTTTCCTTACCATCTTCTAAACCATGAATGGACTCAAAAACCATGAGGAGCACCGCTAACACACCACTGATCTTCATCACCTCAGGTCTCCATCCAGGGTACCACAGAAACAGGAAGTAAGGGAAACAGGAAGTCAAGGAAGAGTGGCTCAGGTGTTTATAGAACCCTGGCCTCCTCAGCTGCAATCCATCACTAAGGAAACACTGCCAAAGCCCTCACCACAACCAGCTTTTCCTCTTCCAGGGTAAAATAGTTGTGATTGATGATAATGATTCAGAAAATCAGATGAGGGAAGTATATAAAGTAGGTCTAGACTATATTCTCCATGTGTCTTCCCAAGCCATAGGATGAGTCTGAAATCCTAACGCGATATGTGAAATGTAGCCACTGGACCACCGAGAGGAGGGACTAGCAAGATAATTTCAGAGCCTCCATGTGGGTGGTACAGAAGAATAATTTATACATTGATTGATGATATTGCATCAATTACCATTATCATTACTATTACCATTCCATAATGGTTTCCAGTGAAACATCACCAATTTTCTGGCCTGGTAGCCAATGATAGTGACCCAGTAAGGCTAGGTTGAGACCTACTTACACATCCCTTTAACGAGCTGCAGGAGATTCTGACTCAGGTAAACTGTTACACCCAGTGAGAGAGAACCGACCAGAGACTGATCTTAAATCCACACACAAATTTACTACCAGCCGGGACCTGAGCCGAGCATCGGACTCGAGCCTCGACCCAGGGGAGACAAACATGTTTTATACACCTTTGAGGCCAGCAGTTTCTAGGCCCCTCTACGTGATAGAACTAGCAAAGCAAGCAAAAGATGCAGAAGCGGAACGTCCTGCTGTTAGAACATTTGTAAAACAATAGTTGATTAATTGTTATTTCTAAAGAGACTTTATAAGGGGAGGAGGTTTTTGAGCTTCCTCCTTCTGAGTTCATCTAAAGGGCAGGCAGGTGGGTCAAGCAGCAATATGGAGTCTGTCTTGCTAACTAGGGTCCTTCAAATACTAGTTTGATGTGCAATGTGAAATAAACTCTTAAAATCATTTTTTTTAATTCTTTCATTGGTACATTTTAGGTATACAACACAATTACATTTCTCATTGGGTGCTTGTACCTTTACATGATGCATCTTGGTTCTTATTTTTTCCCCATTCCTAGCCCTCCCTTCACCTCCTCCACCCTTCCCTATTTACAAAGACTGTTTCCATTTTTTCCATTTCTCATAGTTTCTCAGAGTTTTCCTTTCCTTTATAAAATAGCATCCTTTTATTTGCATTTTAAAACCTTTCAAATTATTTTCCAGAGAAGCATCTCTCAATAGGTTCTTGGGGAGTCTCTCAATGCACTTGCCATATCTGTCTTTGTCTTTGATGATATAGTGGCACAATGACAGCACCTTCTTGTGCTTGTACAAATCCCAGCCTGGGAAAAGCAGTATTACTAGTGAAATGAATAAACACTTTCATTAGCGTCAACTTGAAGAAAACTTCAGCTTTGCATAGATTGTAGGAATTTTGAAACCCTTCAGATGACACAGCCCACCCAGGAGGCCTTCGCCAGAAGCACCCACCAGTGCCTGGCACCCCACTGTTCCTCTTGGGATAGTAAAGACATGGTAGAAAAGAAAAAGATCAAATGCTTAGACATTTGACTTCTGTGGAAGACATTAAGAAACCATTGAAAAGGGCTGAGGAGTTAGCTCAGTGGTTTCACTGCCTGCTGCACAAGCGTAAGGATCCCAGTTCGATCCTCAGTGCAAAAAAAAAAAAAGAAAGAAAGAAACCATTGAAGAGAATAGGACTGTACCTACCAGGGGAGATTTTTGCAAAATACAGGCATAGTCAAGGTGGGCCTCCTGGCCCTGCTGGCTTCTTCCTCCCGGATTGATAACAGTGATGAAGCTCCGAAGCTGCTGCTGTGGGTCCTACAAGCACCCAAGGAATTGATTAAATATACAGATCATAGCTGGGGAGCAAACGACTCCAACAACAGAGCAAGTGTATCATTAGTCACAGCTTTGTGGCATCCCCAAATCAGGTCAAAGAGTATCAGAAAATTAGCCAGTGAATGCCATTTCTCAAGCTCTTCAAAGGTAAGAAGGAAAAACAGTTCAGTGAGCAAGCACTCCATCCAGCTTGGCTGGGTTCACTGTATAGGACACTGTGGTTTTCTCTACCCAAGGGATCAAGATCGGGAGAGTCGGGAGCTGATGTTCACAATGAGCTCAAGTGGTGCCCTCTCTCCTCTCTGAATTGGGTTAACTGAGCACACCTGAGTGGCCCTGGGTATTAAAGCACTCCAGGCTTCCCAGTTCCTCTGGACTGCTTGTTGCCTGAGGAGGTCTCAGCTCCATGGCTGGCATAATGAAGGCTATGCTCAGGATAGAGGGACAGCTGCTGTTACTTGTATCCTTGATGTGGATTTGCTCTGGGCAAGAACCAGGTATCAGAGTGAACATGGACTGGGGGTGCTTTGAAGGGATGATTTCTCGATGGCTGAGAGTCCCAGGACTTTTGGTTGCTAGGACTTTATTGTCCTATCCTAATAGAACTTAGTAATTCTCATCAGTCCCATGCTTTATCCTCCCCTTGGGTCCAGAAAACACAGTTGGATGAGTGTGGTACTCAGGTTGCTCTTAGTTTTCCCAGACTTAGTTTCTCTTCCTCACCTCCCACTTCTTCCTACTTGGGAACTCCTGGAACTTCCCAGGAAGTCACCGTTGGGCCGATTGCTCTTTCACATGTCTCTGAATTAGTCAGCCACACATCCCTAACTGACCTCCCTTATGCAATTGCCTCTCTTCCCCTCTGGATTATCAGTGTCAGTTTTTCTTGAGCTACAACTCCAAACAATCCCTTTCTTAAACACTCCATGCTCCTTCAGCCAAGTAGGTCGGGCATGGACTGGCCTTGAGCATCCTGCAAAGACTGACTTCAAGTTGCCCTCGATTCCAGGTGTCTGATTGCTTCCCAGAGCACCCCAGAGAGGATATTTAAGGTGCTTGCTTCTCCAAGGGCTGGAAATTCAGTGACCAGGGCAATAGGGTGTTAGAGGCTACAAGGATTTCAGATTTTATGTGAATTATGAGAGGAAGCAATTGGGAAGTTGTAGTGTGCTGGTGAGATGATTGTATCTACATCCATCCTAGAAGAGAGGGAAACAGGAGGCGAGTCCCCCCTCACCAGGCTGCTGACCAGTCCCAGAGTGAGACGGCAGTAGTTTTGCCTGCTCTTGATCATGTGGACATGAACAGGTGTGAGACAAACTTTGAAGGTAAAAGTGAAAAGACTCCGGTTCAGAGCATGAGGGTATGAAGGGAGCTGGAATAAGTTCTATTCCCAGATATTGGGATATAGATTGGATATTGGTATATAGATTGGGTTATAGTTTGGATATTGGGTGGATTGTGATGCTACTGACTGAGGTAAGGACAAATAGACAGGAAGTGGGCTGCAATCATGAGTTCTTTATTGGAAATGCCCTTGTTGAATGGACTATGTCAAATACTGTCTCAATGTCTAGTAGCTAATCAGAGAGATGACCCTAAATCTCAGGAAAAGAGTCCAGGCCAAGCACAAATCAAACATCCAGTCTCCCGGGATAAGGCAGGGCAGTCCTCAGAGCAACAAGCCAGCATGATTCCCCGCTCTTCCCACTTCTGTGGCCCTGAGTCACTGTGTTCTCCCCACGAAGGGCACATCTGCCACCAGGTGGCACATGGCTGTGGCTAAAGACTTAAAACATGGACTCTGGTATCAAAGAGTTGTACAAAGACATCACAGGTCCGGAACTCGGAGCTCTGTGCTTCGACCAGAGAGCTCCGATGATTCCTTCTGAGTGCAGGGCCAGTGGGCGGGGGACACTGGGGCGCTGTCAGTGAGGAAAGGAACTGTTTTGGAGCAGTAAAAAGAAGAGAGCGGCACTACACCCTTCGCGCGGCCTACTCCTGCTCAAATTTAAGTTGTTCGGGAAACCCAAAGGTTTCTGACTGTTTTTTCTCCTCTTTTAACAGTGTTGGTGGAATGCAGCCGTTTTAATTTCCGCGCAATTGCTAAAAGAGCCCTGTTCCATCCGCATAAATTGGTAGGCCCTGATGAATTATTTCTAGGGACTGGTTGTCCGGCTATTTATGTGCGACCAGACGAGATTGAGTTTGATTATCCTGTCAGCTTCTGTGGAATTGAAAAGCTGGTAAGGAGTCGACCTTCTCACCCAATCCCATATGCACTCCTTCCTCAGAAGGGCTGGTCTGTGTTTGTGACGATAATATGCTGCTGGTATTGCCAAGTGCTGCCACAGACCAGAAGGAAGGCTAAGAGAAATGTGAATCTTGCTTGTTTTCATTCACCTATCAGAACTACTGTGTGTAGATACTGAGCATTTAAACAGATAAGAAACTCGGCGATCTTTCTCTCACAAAGCTCACAGCCTGCTGGGGTAGAGCAGGAATTGCATGTGCAGCGAGATATAGCGGCCACACTCGAAGGCTCTTGCTCCTAATCCTGTGAGATTGGTACCAGGCCCACTTATTTAGGGTAAAGACTTGAGGCATGAAGGCCAGCAGTGTAATCACACATATGAAATTAGTGCTTAGCAGAACCAGGGACAGAAACCCAGTGTGCTGCTAATTGCTTTTTTTTCTTTTTCTTTTTTTGGGGTACTGGGGATCAAACTTAATTTTTTCTTCTTCTTAAATCGTAATTTTAATAGCTGAATGAGATAAGCCACTTACACCCCAATGGAAGCATAAAGAATGATGTCCAGCTGATCAATTTATAAAATAACTTAATGACATCAGAACCTCTTTGCAAATAGGAATAAAACTACATATAGTACATAATATGATCTCAATAGCATAACAGATTTGAAGGCCAAGGTAGATTACATGCAAATAGAGAAACTGATGCAGTATGATATAACCATAGGAATTGTGTCTCATTTGTTGACCACCAAACATATTTCAAATGTTCTCTATGGGATGTACATATTTTATGTTCAGAAAACTTAATTCCTGGCTGACTTACCATCCATGGCATGGATTCACTTCTGCTCAACTTCTCCTAGAATATGGATATGGTTCCCAGCACTTTTAACTAGAGGCCCTCCTTTTAAAATGCCTAATATTTGCAGAGATTTGAGAATGAGGAGTAAAGAGAAACTAACACATCTCAGTTCAGAGGTATCAGATAAAGGATTTCAGAACTCCAGAATAATCATCTTGTCCTTTCAATCCTCCTTAAAAGGAAAAATTTCCCCTAAGTACCTGTAAAAATGTTTGTGCCCTAGAATTCTGATTTCAGACACCTAATAGTAGACCTTCCCACCCAACTCACCCTCGCTTGCAAATTCTCAAAAATCATGCTCCACATGTTTTTCATTTATATTCTCCTTAAGCTAAGTGCTTCTACTTTGCAAGAAAGAAATGTAATCATGTTAATTGGAGTAGCTATCTTGATCTCTAGAGACTTTGAAGGAGCCAGTTTTCTATTGGAACATATGTTGTGATAAATGAATATGCACATCAAAGCTCTCTTTTCCCATCAGGAATACTACGATGGAACTGCCTTCCACTCCTTGCTCACATATAAACCGAAGCATGGATTAGCTGCTGCTGAACTTCAACTAAAGTGTACGGTTCCCAGGTCAGTTCAAATATTCATTGGCTCCTCCCCAACACAGTAATAGCTTTTTGCTGAAATGTATCATACTTATCCAGAGACTTTGAAAAATTATAATTGTTTTTATTTAGCTTCTCGGCTTTATAGCATGTTGGCCCACTAGTCAGAGGCCAAAACCCAGACCAAATGAATTAAGCAAAATTACAAAGCCAGGAGTACAACTTGATCTTTCTTTCTACTCCCCTAAGGGGCATGAAGACACATCGCCAACCTAATACATGCAGTATCTGTAGAGGTTTCTTAAGTATGCAAATTGGCCTTGATCTTCTTCATAATTCAAGAAGCTCTAAGTTGTGCAGAAGAGTTGGGGTAGTGGAAATAATCTATTCCCCTCCTGAATTTGAAATTAATTCAGTAATAAATCACACAGGAGACATAGCTTTGGTTTGCTTTTTTCTCTCTCGCTCTCTTTTAGGGGTCAATCAGCAAGATTTTTTTCAATTTTTGTTTTCGTTAGTGCATATTTGCAATACACAATGATTACATTCCTCATGTGGAGTTGGTATGTACATAACCCACCTCATCCTCTTCCCTCCCTCCTCCCTCTCCCTTCCACCTCTTAGTCCCCTTCCGTTTTGCAGTAGCCAATTGGTGAATGAGGCTCTCCATCTTCAGTTAGAAGGCCTCCTTCCTAAAAGTCCACCAGAAATGAATTTGTTGACCCTGGGGCTAGAGGAGATAGACAATTGCAGGTCTCCCCTTGAATGCATGAAGCCTGTCCAGTAAGCTGGCCTCCTGGCCACAAGGTGGGCCAGAATGTGTCCCTCAAAGACAGTCTGGCTCCAAAAAGCCAGTAGGACTGAGCTAAAAGTAACCAGTTCCTGCTCCCACATTTACCATTGGTTAATGCTTTCCTATTCCCCTGAAGAGAACTGAGGCAGAAGGCCTGGAGGAAGTAAAATTATGCCTCCCATGGTTTCCTCTCTCCTGGAGAGCGAACCAAAAATTAATCTTTTTTCTCTAGAAAGTAAAAAAAAAAATTTTTTAAGTATCAAGCAGCCCATTAAAAAGAAAGTTCTATGGTTTAAGCAGTAAGTACATAATTTTTATAAGCAAATTAGAATTAAATAAGATAAAAGATTAGAAGGCTTGCAAGTCATAGATTCGGCCAAGTATCAGCTGTTGAGTTCACACTGTCTGACCCTTGCTCCTATCAGTAACTGCAGTTGAACTCCTACCAGTAACTGCAGTTGAACTCCTACTATGTGCTGGCAATAAGTTCCAAAGGACTTTAGGCACTTGAATCCTCAGTATCAACCCAATACATGAGTCACTAATGATGTTCCTACTTAATGAATGAGAAACTTGGACAGAAGCACATTAGATGATTTGCCAACGTCTCACAACTAAAGAGCCCCAGGTTCATGTCCAGACAAAGTGGTTATCCAAAGAGGATAACATAGTGAGATCCTCGCTGTCACTCCAGGATGGTCAGTAAGCTCTTGTCTCTCACCCCTACCTCCCTGGATCCCCTCTAACACGCGTCTTCAATAAAAATACTCAAACTGTATTAGCTCTTGGTCGCCTATTAAGTAAGCTTGAAGAGATTCTAGGAATGTCTTGTTTTAGACCCATTACTACTCCCAAGCAAAAATTACTCACACACACTGAGTATCTTCTTGAAATAGTTTTTCTCAACTTAGGAGAGAACAGTTTCTGTGCCTACAACTTATTATCCCACAAGGATGTGGTGAGAGGCGGCTACTGCTGAACAATAACACAGTCGTGTGATTCTTCAATTGGTAATCGGTTATAACATTAAACTGTTGGATCCATATTAAGGTGCTACATTGAGGCTGTTGAGACCGAGTGTCCAAACTGCAACCCAAAACCCACTTTTTTATCACAAAGTGCCAACACTTCAATTAAAACCAAACACTGAGGTTTTAGTTTAGAAAAAAACAACTCATACAACTCGTGACATCATCGCAGAGAGGGCTCTGCATGCCCACAGACACGGCCTAAGCCTGACGTTCAATCCCAGGAATGATAACTCTTAAACCCTTGTGTTGCCTCTTAATTCCTTTCTTTTTCTTTTTTCCTCTGAAAGGCCCTGTGTCCCACCCGATTACCCTCAAATGTACCCTCTGCTTGTCGAAAAACCTGATGCTCAATACTGGTTTGTGAAACGATTCATATTCTGCGTGGACTGTGGCCAAAGTCACATCCGGGATAGCTGGGTAAGGATTCCCACAAGTAATGTGCCCAGCCAGGTATTTTATGACAAAAACAACGACGACAACAAAATTCAAGACAGTCACGAACAGGCAAGTTTGTGACAGGCAAGGCAGACACCCCACCCCACTCCACCCCACCCCCTACGCAGGCCTGGGAGGCCCACGATTCTCAAGCGAAGGTGTACACAGCAATGTGTGGCCTTCTCTCCCTGATACCTCATGCCACACTACACATGGGATTGATTTGAGGAAGACCCTACGCTTGTCGGTCATAATTCTCTCCTTAGCCTAGGATGGTTTCCTTTGGCAGTAAAGATTTCACTTTACAAAGTTCGGCCCTGAACATTTGAATCCAAAACCAATGACTATAAGAGAAACAGACACTGATAAGTTCCAGAGTTGTCAGTTTGGGACACTTCTCGTGTGTCTTTCCCAAAGAGACCAAACATCTGGGGCTGGGAGTGTGTGAAGGAAATGTATGGGCTTAGCTCACTTGAGTTTTATCACGGGGTCCATTTCAAACAACACTTCAAACATCACAAGAGTCCTTTGTGTGTGTTTGGGGTTTTTCTCTTGTTTCCTTTCCCCATAATGTTTAGGAGGCAGATGCTATATTGCTCCCGTCTGAAAGTCTGGACCATTTCATGACTGTGTGCAACACAGCTCATGTCTCAGAGCTGTGGAAAGTTCACTGGTTCCGTTCCCGTGCCTGAGTCCAGAGAGGCCTCCCCTTCTTTGGGGCAATATCCCTGAAACTTGGGTTTCGTAAATAGCAAATGTTAGCTGCTTATGAACTTTGTTTTTCCCACAGTCAACACCTTATTCCAGGCCATACAATCACTCGCTTCCATAGTCGTCTTGGCCAGCCTCCATCCCTTGGGTTTCAGAAGCTCCTGCCCGGGACCCTAAGCAGCAACAAACAGTAACCTGGTTTCATGATAGGATGTGGTCTTCCATTTTTATATATGTGTGTGTGAGTTTAACTCATTTTAATCTATTGTAATCCCCTTTATGATGCCTTTGAGAAGAGGCTATTGGTGTTTTTTAATAAATGTTGGCATATTTTATTGTGTCTCTGTGTTTATTGTGTTTCTAACTTAGCTAAAATCAATTAATTTCTAAGCTGCTAGGCTGAGTTAGTAGGAAGGTGGGAACCTAGGGTTAAGCCATGCTCTAGCTATGTGACACCCAACTATTAAAAACTGGTCCAGGCTATGTGCACTACTACAGCTTGTAAGGTTACTTGGAGGGCATTGAATAGAAATTGAGAGCCACCAGAAGCCGGGCGAGCCCCAGCCCCAAGCTCAGGGCAGCTCTTACCTGGCAAGAGTCAAAGTTGCCCCTCCCCAAGTGAGCAGCCCATCTTCTGCCCCAGCATGAGTAACAGCGGGCATCTTCTCCTCTCATGTCCAGGTGACTGGGACTCAAGGGAAACGTGCTCTGAAGCCACCATGGCCTCAGCCTTTCCACAGGAGCAGCTGCATTTCCGGGACACTGCAGGGCACCTCCATGTCCATCTGCCTGCGGCGAGACCGAGACGCTGTGTGCTGCTGTCCATGTGGACCACGCGCTGGGACGCTGGCCATTTGAGCCTGGAATCCTCTTATTTCTTGTGACCATCTCTTTGTCCTTCAAGGCAAGAAAGCTGCTTCTGTTTCAAATGTCTGGGGACCACGGCAGCTTCAAAGTCATGTTCCTTGGCTTGAACCCACAGTCAGGTTAGGTGCCTCTGTGGCTTTGTAGTGCCACCTCCTGGCACAAGGAGAGCCCTGCGTGTCCCTCCCTGCCTTCCTTGCAGAGTCCCTGACACTCAATTAGCTACTCTAAAACCCCCTTTCCAAATACTAAAATTTTCCCACTGCCAGTGGTATTTACCTACCATCTACCCACCCGTAGTAGCTTTTCTTATAATGATCTTTTATTATATTTTTACAGATTTTACTAATGTTTTGATAAATAAGAGCTGTTCAGGAAGCAAGCAATCCAAACCCCCACATGCTGCAGAGATTATAAAATAAACTTCCCCCTCCCATCAAAAAATGCAGTGGGCATGTTGGATGGACAGATGGGCAATAGTGCAGAGTGAATAGATGCACTTTTATACAAAAATACATAGATGTTCTAGAACATGATGAGGCCCAGGCCAGTACACTGCAAGACTATCCCACACTATAAAGTGACTTCAACCCAAGAAGTTTGTAGTTTTCTTTACAAAATTATATTTGAAATAGAATCATCAATACCTGTGACGTCACATTTTAGTTACCTTGCCACAATACCATTCCTTCAGTTAACTACCATAACATATAGGGAGAGATTACTATGGGCAAAAGATCAAATATTCCCAAGGGATACATGGGGTGTAGATTGGGCATACATCATGGATAAGAAGGAAAACACAATGGATTGGTCCAGAGAAGAAAAATTGTTATTGGTATAATTCCCCATATAGAGTTTGTTCAGTGCTCTTTAAGAAAAGTATTAAGAGGGCCGGGGATTTAGCTCAATGGTTCTGCCGCCTGCCTTGCAAGCACAAGGACCCGAGTTCGATCCCCAGTACCAAAAAAAAAAAAAGAAAAAGAAAAAGAGAAGTATTAAGAGGGGCCAGGGACTTAGCTCAGTAGTGCTGTACCTGCCTTGCAAGTGGAAGGTCCTGAGCTCAGTCCCCAGTACTAAAAAAAAAAAAGTATGAAGAGCTACAGATGCATCTAATATAAAGTGGTGTCATTTGACAAGGACAATGAAGAAAGGGTCTTAAACCCTAGGGACAGTGATGTTTTTAGCTAAGAGACAAAGGAGAGATTGCCCAGTAAAGAAAATAGCATGTCCAAAAGAGCTGATGTCAGAGCTGGATTCCAGGCTACACTCAGAAAGGCCAGCAGGCCACCAAAGGCTACCAAGGTGAGAAATAGCACCTGAGATGATGCTGAAACTTTAATAAAGGCTGATAAAGGTGTGGGGAATTTCCATTTCGAGGGGCAGGCATTTATGTCACCACCCCCAACCAACATGCATCTCTCTGGTGGAGAAAAACAGACTAGACAGAAACTTGTGTGAATGCAGGCAGCAGCCTGTGTGATAAGTCCTGGGAAGTGTCCGTGGTCGTATGGAGAAGGAAGACAGAGAGCTCATCGGCACCGAACTGCTGACCCAAAGGCAGGCTCCTCCCAGGCCCAGCCCTGCCCTCGGTCAGTATTCCACGTGTGGACGCAGGGTCTGTTTCAAAGGCAGGAGCTCAGTTGTGCTGGGACACGCAAGGGACAGTACAGAACCCAGTCATGAAACAGTGTGGTGGAAGTTGGAGACAGACGCTAAAGGGACCCGTGTCACCACTGGGTTCATTGGAGGTCTCCATTCAAACTTTACCTGACATCTTCTGCTCCACTGGAGACTTTGCAAACTCCCTCCACTGGAGGGGGGCGGATCTAATCGGGAGGGAATCTTGTGAACAGGACTCTGCTATCCATTTCCATTTGACGCTTTCCCTGCCTCGCCTTGACAGAGAGATGAATGCTCACCTGTCACGTGTCTGGCAGTGATGAGAAAACAGCAATGAATCAGTCGCGGCCTTCGTAGATCCTGCACTCCGGCGGCGGAGTCAAACTAAAGAACGATTTGAACAAAGACAAAAATAATGATATGGGAAAGAGAGCAATTTTGGATGAGTGTTCAATAGAAGTCATTGTGAAGAGGTGGCAGAAGCTGAGACCTGAAAGATGAGAATGATCAGTGCTACGTTACTCCAGGTAACAGGTAGAGCTTAGTCTGTTGGAGGAACGGAAATCTAGCTGTACAGCATGATTACCAGTAAGGAGATCCCGGCTCCCTTGCCCCAGGGGCCAAATATAATGGGGCTCAAAAAGGAAAGAGCTGAAGTAGCAGCGTGCATTTCAGCCTCAGCTTGCTTCTCTCACCAGCTGGAAGCTATGCAACAGCCCAAGCAAAGGACTGGGGAGGATGTGAACTGTAAAGATGGGGACCCATGGAGAAGCTCAAGAATTCTTTTTTAAAGTAGAATCAAACATTGTGAGGTTAAAAGTGACAGGATTTATAAATGGGAGCAACTAACATCGTCATCCATGTCCCTATTTTTCATACAAAAACACTACCACCCAAGAGATTTGAGCACGCCATTGTACGATGAATGACCCATCCATCTCAGCTTAATTTTTAAGTGTGAACTTTCCAGATTGGTGAGGAAATGGGAACATGTGTAGTCACAGGTGGTTAAACATGTTATGTGCAAGTCTGAACACGGATCCTGTCTATGCAGGTGAATCATACTGCACTCCTGTTTATAGCTTTGCCCTAGGCAATGTTACCCACCCAAATTAGGGCTTATGGTGATATCAATGTGTCCTATACATATGAAACTAATAAAACCCTACATTTTCATCTGGGTAACAATCCACCATCATCTCACACATTGCAAAATGCACCTGTAAAATTCAGAAAACTCAACCAACAATAATAATTCCATGGTTTTCTTATTATTCCCATTTCTTACCTCTACCCCTTTTCTCATACCATAAATTCAAAGGTTAAAAAAAATCCCTGCCCTTAAGGATAAAATCAGTTATGGTACTTGACTGGGCTACAAGAGGAAGGGAAAAAAATCTCTAAAATATAGCCAAGAACCATGCACCCCTTTATTTTCAAACTAGAAAACTGAGAAGTAAATTCATCCTAAACAAATGACCATAAAATTGGTCATCATCTACACAGAGACCTCTGTCTCCCCATTTTAATCAATAATTATGGTTCACAAAGCATGGACCCGCTACCAACATAGGAGTCTTATCTGGGAACATATTAGTGATACATGTCCTTGGATTCTGCCCCAGATTCACCAAGTTAGAAATCCTGGTGATAGGGACCAGTGATCCATGCATGTTTTGAAACAAAAACTGAAGGTGATTCTGGTTTACTATTCAAATCTCTAACCAAGTATTTCATATTGAAATAATATGCTTCATGTGAAGCAAATAATAATCTCTTTTTTCTAAAGTGAGCTTTTGATTTTTAAAAAGTACATTAAGATTTTCAGGTGATAAAGGAATTCTGCTTTAGCACTAAGTATTTCCCAACATTGAATCAAGAACTAGCCTAGCTGGGCATGGTAGCAAAACCTGTAATGCTAGCACTAAGAAGGCTGAGGCAGGAGGATGACCTTGAGTTCAATGCCAACCTGGGCTACATAGCAAGATCCTATCTTTAAAACACACACACACAAAAAAAGAACTAGCCTTAAGAATAGGCCCTGATAAAGGCTGCCTCACAGCGATGATGCAGAGCAGGTAAAACTGACTGTCCTGGTCCCACCTAATCTCAGAGCTTTGCTTTAGGGACATGCCACAAATGCAGAGCTCCTTGAAGATGCTCATATCCATACCACCACCCCTCACCTAGAAACATAGGTATGCAGAAATTGAAATGGTAGGAAAAACAAAAACCTGCAGGAAACTTGACCAGCCCTCTGGAACTCAGCGAACACACAGCTGCAAGAGATGGAGCCCCAGATATGTCCTAGGACCCGCAGAGGGTACCGTCCACGAAAGCTCCAGCAGGGCCCCATCACTTTACTGGCCTCGCTGATCTTTAGTGCCTGTCATGCAGCCAGGTCCGTAACAAGTAAAGGCTGTTTCCAAGCCACCTCGGGATGGGTTATTGTGAACATCTGACGGGTTTGGGGAGGCACAAAACTTGGCAGGTGGTCCTCACGGCACTTCCTGTTCCCCAGCTGGGCGCTTCCCTGGGCTCTGGCCAGATGGAGGTTTTCCTGGTGTCTGTGAAGCTACTTCTCCTTTTCTCTCTGACTTGGACTTGCTCTGGAGACCATCCAGGTATTTACAAAACAAGAGAGAGATGGGAGTCACCAATAATACGGCCAGGGGGTGTGAGCTTAGCTGTAGAGAGCTTGCCTGGGTCCAATCCCAGCCCTGCAAATGATAACAAAACAACGACAATAGTAGTAATAATAATGCTTTGGCTTTTTCCAATCTGAATGTTTCCGTTTGTTACTGCGTTACTAATAGCGAAGGGGCTACGCTAAATATTCTGTTTTCAGCGGCTGGTGTTGGAATACCTTATGTCCTCACCTGGCTGAGCACTGGTGGCTTTCTCCTCCCCAGTCCCTTCTCCCTTGAAGGATGTGTCATACTAGTAGGAGAATGGGGTTGACTATAAGACAGAAGAGTTTTCCTTGCATCTGGTAGGGAATGGTTATCTTATATTCAACTGTGGAAAATGGTGGGTATAAATCTTAGAGAGAGAATTACCCCACAGCGTGACTATCAAATGCTTACCTCTCTCTAGATTCTCAGAGGGACCTTTAATTTTTGGCTTGGTAGAGCAAAATGCTAAGAGTTTGAGAAAAAAATTGCCCAGAAATTCTGACAATAAGGCTGTGGTCATGTCATTATGCATTTTCGAGATGAAGTCTGGTCTACCAGACAGTTGTTTGAGATACACATCTAAGGAGTCCAGATAAATGTTCTCAGTGCTTATTTCTAAGGAAAAAATATCACCCACCATTGCACTAATTCGGAATTCTAACAAATGCAAATTTCATCTCCCTGGGTAGTTTGTGGAGAATTCTTATATGGGGAACACCTTGAGTACCTATTAAAACATAGGCGAATGAACCCACTCCACGTCTAATGAATTTGAATTCTGAAAATATGCCCGAAGAATTTGCATTTTCAACAAGCACTGAAGATGGTTCCACTTGGAATTTAAAAGGTGCACTTGTTGATTCTAGCCAAAACTGGGATTCATTATGGAGTCACTTTATGTATGTATTTAGTGGTCAAAATTAACTCTCAGAAGATTTGGTGAGATCCTTCAATTTTTCTCTACCACATGTGAGTTTAATTTAATGTCTTCTATACACTAAATTATCAGAGCTCTTATCACTATTGGTAATATCTCTTTTGAGGTCTACTACCTATGCAAGATATTAACTCAAATGTCCACTATTCGTATTAAAATTACCGCATGTAAAGCAAAATGCATGCTTTTTCAAATCATAAGCCTCTCTCTCCTCAGTTTTACCCCAGGCAATAGCAGTAAAAGAAAAATACCATTTATTCAGATTCTCAGAGGCAAAAAACTTATAGAATTACTTTTTCTTCCCAAGCCCTGCATCCGCAGGCCTCCGGACTTCTTTCTAGAATCCCTCTGGTTCTTTCCATGCTGTCAGCAGCTCAAGTCTAACCACAGCAGCTGCTCCTGGTGTGTTTGAATGTCCACAGTAGCTGACCCCGCTGGTTTCTCTCTTGGCCCTCACCCCCACCCTCCTGCTCCCCACCAACATGAGTTTTTATGTCATGAGTCAGGTCCCCTTTGGCCCACGGTGACTATGCACACACAGCAGAATATTACTCAGCCTTGTAAAAAGGGGGAGTTCCTGCCATTTGCCACAGCATGTATGGACTGCAAGGACACAATGTTAAGTAAATGCAGTCAAACCCAGAAAGAAAAACATTGGCTGATCTCACTTATAAGCGAAAGCTTTTTTTAAAAAAAATCAAATATACATTATCTATTACACACCTTGATCCAAAGGGGAAGTGGGAGGGGTAAGGGAAAGGAAAGAAAGGAAAAGAAAAATATGAGAAAAGGAAAACATTGAAACAAAGTCTTTGTAAATAGGGAAAGGTGGAGGGGTTAGAGGGAGGGCAGGGGAAGGGGGGAAAAATAAAAACCAAGATACTCATGTACAGGTACAAATTCCCAATGATGAGTGTCATCATACTGTATACCTAAAATGTACCAATAGGCTTAATGACAAAAAAATCAAATATACAAAAAGAGAATAAAACATCAAGTTTTGGGCTAGAGGAAGGGAATGAAAGGTTGTGGGTCAGAGAATACAAAGCAGACATGTAGAATGGGCAAGTGTGACTATTGATGCACAGCACAAGGGCTACAGTTAGTGGTGTCTTCAGGAATTCTGCTACAGAAATAGATCATAGCTGCTCTCACCACAAGGGACAAAAACAGGTAGCTATGGGAGGCTCTATCAATTTGCTTCACTGTAGGAGCCATTTTAGGGTACATTCGTGTATCTTTACATCATGTTGTCTACCGTAAGTATACAGAATAAAATGATTATAGGTTCTGATGTCTTTCAGTAGACAGGATTTAGCCTATCTTGGTTTTTTTGGTGTGTGGTTTTCTTTTTTTTTGGTACTGGGGATCGAACTCGAGTCCTTGCGCTTTCAAGGCAGACGGCAGAACCACTGAGCTAAATCCCCACCCCAGATTTAGCCTGTCTTGAAACGAGCTGCTCTTTCCAGTTCCTTATCTGCAGGAACAAGGAGAGTTCTTGTTTTTCCCCCTCTCTATACCAGCCCAAGCTACCACAGCCCAGTGGTCCGGGAGGAACCTACGTGGTCTTCCTTCTTCCTCAGCACAGGTGGTGGTGTTCATATAGCCTTTCCGCAAATACACAATCTGCATATATTGTGGGCTTGTTCTTGGCTCTAATTCAGCGAAGAACAAAACAGAACTCATTTCTATTCTTGTGTAGCTTCCATTCTAATGGAAAGAGAAAAGGTAAAGAATATAATTACTATGTCACAAACTTAAGAGAAAAAAATATTGGGAAAATGCACTGGGTTAAGCTATGATTGCTACCTTTCTGCCCAACTTCACGAGTATCCGTTTAGTCCATTAACAGTGTTGCTTCGCAAAATACTGACTGAACACAGATACCAGGACTGGAACACAGGTTTTGCTTTCTAAGAGTTTAAATTGGTAATGATAGCCTGTTGGCTAAAATGACTATCAGCAGTGCCATCTTGGAGACCTCCACTGTAGAACTGTACAGTGGAACTGAGATCACATTTGGGCTGATTCTCATTCACATACAGTGGACCTTGGCATTACAGCTGGCCTGACATACGAATAACTTGGGTTGTGACTGGATTTTTTTTTTTTTTTGGTACCGGGGAACAAACTCGGGTCCTTGCACCTGCGCAGCAGGCAGCAAAACCACTGAGCTAAATCCCCAGCCCGATGACTGGAATTTTAGTTTTATCTTATGACCAAAGTCTTGAGTTATGACCCAAATTCTGGCTGCTTGTGCTTCCAGATGATCTCAGATAGATTTCACCCTTAAAGAATTCTGGAAGAAACATGACAGCATCCTCTCCTGTCTGGGGTGAACTGAGAAAGCCTGGACCAGGGTCTCTCTAAGGACACTGAGATCCGCCTGTGCACGGGAGAGAGAGTTGAAGGCTGTGTGGAGGAGCCTGAGCCTTCACTGACCAACTTGAGTTACACCTAGCCCTCACAAACAAATTAAGTTTGTAAGTCAAGGGTCCACTGTACAGCATCCCCTGGATTCTTCTTGGGGTGAGAGGGGACAATGACTGTCTTAAAACAGAGGTAAAAACCATGTCTACTGTGTGTTTTCCTCTGCGAACGGGAGCACCTTTTATGTTTGCATCTCTGACCTGTGTCGCCCGTGTCGTCTGACTCTCTCTCCTGCCTCTCCACAGTCTATGTACGATGCAGCCCCACTTGGTTCCTCGTCAGAGTCAAGCAAAACGCATTTGACAATAACATCCCGATGGCCCCTGGAGAAGTATATCTAGGACATACCTGTCCTGTCACCTCAGTGCATCTGCAATTCTATGAGTTTCTCTACCATACCGATGAGTGTGACATCAGGACTCAGGTAATTAGATATTTGCCTAATTCACTAAGCCTTCTCAGACATTTGGCTCATAAACTTCATACCAAGGTTTGGGGGTGTTCTTTATTTGTGGTAATGAGCTAAACTGATTCTGCCAAGTATCACATGGGCCATGAAAGCTAAGAATAAATGAGCCAACAAGTGAGAAGTTCTCATTTGCCATCTTCTAAGTAAAACATGGAACTTGTCCTCACTGAAGAGTGGGCTTTTTTTTAAATTAGGAGTCAATAAACTTCACACAGTCTGCAGCCCACAATCTGGCCTATAGCTTGTTTTGTCACCCAGCTAAGAATAGTCTTTGTATGCCCAAGTGGTAGAAAAATAATACCTAAGAATACATTTTGTGATGGGTAAAAATGTGAAGTTCAAATTTCAGTGTCCGTAAGTAAAGTATTATTGGAACACAGCCATGCTCGTTCATGTATTTCCTGTCAACGGCTGCTTTCACCCTACAAGACCAAACTCTAGTACCTGGGACAGAGGACCCAGGGCCCTCAAAGCCCAGAGCATGTGGTCTCTGGCCCATTCCAGAAATGCAATGCTCTGTGGCATCAAAGCCAGACGTGCAGCTCCACAGAACTCTCGATTTCCGTCTTAGGAAACAGCCAGCCCTTTGTGGCGCAGGAACACGCAGGAGTCACCAGAGAGGTGGTCACACCTGCAATCTGCAAATCCCAGGGCTGACTGTCGGACAGCCTGGCATCTCGGCCCCACTGGAGACTGGTCGCCCTTCCCTGTCTGAGGGCCGGGCCGGGTAGAAGGCGGGCACCAGACTGGAGGCAGACACAGGCAGTCTCCAAGCCTCGTAGGTTATTTTGCCTTCAGACGAAACCAACCTCATTCCTGGCAAGCCCCTAGGAGAAGCCTTGACAGGAGAATCACATCTCTTCATTTTCTTTTCATTTTCATTTTTTCATTTAAGATCTCAAAAACAAAGACTTTGAGCCTTTCTAAAATAGAATTTAACATGATGTTCGTGGCACAATATAAAATGTTAGGATGTTAATGGGAGTTGGTATGGCCAGAGCTACCAGCGGAGTTTTAGTCATTTTAAGTGAATATTGAAAAGGAAGAGAATATACACAAAAATTCACTGTAGTAGTCTCCAGATGATGAAATTAGCAAAATCTGCTTATTTGCTATACATTTTTCACATTTCCCAAAGACACATGTTATTTCTGAAGAACATGTAACCTAATTAATGTGCTCTTTATAACTAAATGTACCATATTTTTTATTCATCTGGCTTTCGCAGGCCATGTTCGGCATCTCAAGGCCTTACAAAATCTACAGAAAAGTTTCTCCAGAGAGTAAGTTTTAAGCCCTCTCTTGATCAGAATGAAAGAAATCTTGGAAGCAATACTTAAACTCAAGTGGGAAGTACTACTCTGGCCTCCTGCAAACCATGTCCCATTCCGGGTGTTCCTCCTTCTTGGCTATTTAGGAAATGGCCCTCTCTGCCCCGCCCCCAGACACGGTTTAGCGCTCATGACTGTGTTGGAGAGCTGTCTTCTGAGCCACTGTCCCCTGACAAGTTCTTTCAGCCAACTTTGACATTTCCTTTGTTGCCTCAGGTTCTTCCAGGGGATCTGCTCCTTTTTGAAACCGAAATCTTCTTTCTATCAATGTTGTCAGACATTTATGCTACAATACCTGTGGGCTGTATTGTGCCCCGGTGAGTGTTGTGACCAACCCATTCATTCCCCTCTGCGTCGCCTTGCGCTGGCTGGTAAGGGGGGGTGGGGGGATGAAAGGGGAGACTAAGTCACTGTGTCAGCGCTGTCCTGTTCCCCATGCAAGTCTTACTCTCTCCATGCCGTATTATTCTGTATTCTCCATCTTTCAGCTCTGATACCTATCATCACTGTGACTTTAGGGACGTGACTTAACAACTCTGTGCCTCTGTTTCCTGATCGTCAAAGTGCAGGCGATACCGCCTATTTCACAGGTTTGGGGTGAGGGCTAAATGAGACAATGCATGTAAGAGGGTTGGAGCAGCACACAGGACACAGTGGCCAGTGCCATGATTGCTGTGAGCTAAGTCTCTTCAGAGTGGCACAGGACTGTGTGTGAGACCATGCAGGTTAATTCCACTCTATACCAAGTAGCTCTTACGCTGAGAATCCAGTTTGCTCTAATTATAATTAATGTCCATATTACAAAGTCTCTTTCTTATCTCTTCACCAAGACCAGTCAGGAACATTAGAGACCTGAAATAAACTAACAAGGTGGTGGGCATATACAGTTTTATTATTGTGAACTTGCAGGCTAGGGGGAGAAGAGAAGCATGCTAAAATGTTAGTTTTAAGTAGTTAAATGTTTTCACTGTCTCCGTGATCTAAAGGTAGGACTTATATTTTCATTTATCTATGGACTCATTTAGACACCACCCATTACTGATGGTCTAAGATCATCAAACTTTAAGTCGGTGACTTGGTCAACAACTCTGGCAGGGTGTTGGGAGTGGCCCTCTTGAACACAAAGCTTAGTAGGTCCAGTCGCTACACTTAGGAGAAAAAGTGAGACTAGAACGGTAACACTGCATGGTGCTTCCTTCTGACCAGCAGGAAAGGTGCAAAATCAGGACAAGCAAGGGTCGGCCTTGGCTTGATCCTGAGCCTCCAACATCAGGACCTGAGTCGATCTCAGATCCATTCCTCTTTCTTTGTTTCTTCCCTTTCTGCAGCCATCCAGTTGCTATAAAAAACAAAGGACATAATGCTCATGAACGGGGTGTCTCCTCAGAAAGATCTGGAAGACCAAATTTACACATTGCGCCTGAGACAATCAACTGCAAACTTGAGGTGAAGTTACTTAAAACCCATACACTTAAGCTGCCCAAGTATGTCTTAGAATATCAAACAAAATTCCACAAGGAAATTGTATACAATGTGTTATACACAAGGCAGGTCAATGAATGCATCTTTGCTTATTAGAAGTCTGATTTCATGGCAGCCCCTGTTGGTTTGATATTAACTGAAAGAAGAAACTTAGGACAAAGACTGTCCTTCAGGAACCTTGGATAATGACCCACCAAGTACAATATTTTTATCAAAATAAACACTAATGGAATATTAGGTAGAAATACTTTTAACGTTAATACCAAGATCAAAGAGTGTAGACTTTGGCGGAGTGAATAGCCCTTGAGAAGCCACACTTGGAAATACCATAGACGCAGAGTCTGTCCTGAAAGGGGTGGGGTCTTCCTGCCAGGGCGTATGCTTCCTAAAGTAAGTGGCTCTTCCTCCTGAGACGGCTGTGAAGGAAAACTAAACTCACGTGCACCTACCTGTGTTTCAAAGTTCTCATGTAGCTATGTCTGAAGGGAAGGAGCTGTATTTAGCCACTGGATGATGTCCAAATATTTCAAAACATCATGTCCATGATATATATAATTTTTATTTGTCGATTAAAATTAATTTTCTAAAGTGTAAAAGAGAGAGCTGAGTATCAGAAAGATGGTAAGCCCTCTTCCACACTCGGGTGTGCTAGGGACGGTGCACTAAATAGCACACATTCTGCGAATCTCCACTGCATTCGTAGTGAAGAGCACACCAAATACTCATCTCCAGAGAGATGCAGGGGCCCTATTTAATTTTGTGGGGACAAGGCCCCAGACATCAGCTCTTCTCTTCCTACCCTCTCCACCTGTCCCAGAGACTTAAGAATGCTCATCCCCTGAGACCAAAAGCCAGAAAACTCCACAATAACAGTTTCTGATCCTTCTCTCTGCAGAGCAAAATCCCTGCTTTCAAACCTGCTCCACTCCTCTTTCTCCACCTGAGTTTTCAGAAGCAGAATTAATGCCCAGAAGTTGTGGCTGCAGCCACTGGACGTGTTAGAAGCTGGCATGTGCCTAACAATCCTGCTTATCTTACATTTTTTTAATGCTTTAAATGACTTGATTTTAAATGAAATGGCTGTTTGTAGTTTCCTGATCCCTTATTAAGAAGGATCCTCCTGTTTTTAGCTTTTTGAGGAGCTCTAATAAAATGCTTTCTTTTAATGGATTGTCTGTCATTTATTAATGTTGCTATGGTCTAAATGTCTCTGCCCCAACTCCAAAATTCATTTGTTGAAACCTCATCCCAATGTTCCAGTATTAAGAAGTGAGCCTTTGGGAGACAACTAGATCTTGGGGTGGGACCCTTGCAGGTGAGATTAGTGCCCTTATAGACAAGGTCCAGGTTAGGTAGCCTACTTTTGCCTCCACCAAGTGATGACCCTGACAAGGTGCCTACTATGAACTAGAAAACAGGCCCTCACCAGACCCCAGATGTGTCAGTGTCTTGACCTTGAACTCCCAGCCTCCAGAACAGTGAGCAATCCATTTCTGTTGTTTATAAGGCACCTGGGTTATGGACATTTTGTTATAGCATCTTGAATGAACTAAGACAACTATGCTATGGTGACTCGTCCTATGTAAAACTTGTTGTATGCGAAATTGTTTTCATTAGTTGTTTGGTGCCTGTGGTCAAAAGTCAACCCTGAAATGGCATAGCCTGGATATCCCACTAATCTATTTGGGATTGATTAAAGAGCAGGTGGAAACAAACGTGTTGTTGTGATTTAAAGTTTCCTACAATCCAGCTCCAAAGAGAAAAACAAGATGGAAGACGCTCGAGAAATATTCTCATTTTCCATGGCTCCTGGAATCCAATATGAAGAAGGGTTTAGTCCTAGAAGGGTTTAGTTAAAGAAGGTGGTGGCAGCGAGGTCACAAGAAAGAGGCTTTGACTAGTAGGGACAGGTGGAGATGGCGATGAAGATGACCACAGAAGTAAAGATGGAGGCACAGGTGGAGATGAAGCAGAGGTGGAAATGGAGGTGAAGGTACAGATGTTGGTGGAGCTGCAGGTGCACTCAGACCTCTGATTTCATGCACTGAGCTCAGCACTGGTCCTGGCTCATGTGGAGCATTTCCCATAACATGCCAGACACAGGCCCTAACATGACTCCCCAAGCCAGCAAACTCATCGTTCAGCAGTGTTCTCCCTTTCACGTTTCTATTTTATTGCCACTCCATGGTGTTTTATCAAGTTTTTGGCCTGCTTTTGTGTTTTTATAGCTCATGGCCATGTGTTTCGCACGGAAGTAGTAATCACAGCATGAGCTGACTTGGCTCTCTTGGCTCATTTCAAAGTAAAGATAAATGAGATTTCAAATAAATGGAAGAGTTAAGAAATACTTCTGAGACAAGAGTTCATCCTTAATATTTCCTGGGGTGTTAAAAAACAAACTCGAAGTATTACCTGGCTGCTACTTTAAAGTGGAAATCATAGGCCTTATCTGGACTCACTGGGTAGGGATGAGGAATTCGCATTTTATCAAATATTCCAGGCAACTATACAGGAAATTGTGCTAATGAAATTGTAGAGAAATTACATCTCATTGGCTCCAGTGAGAATGGAAGATTCCTTGGTGATAAATGGACTCAGGACATTTTGAAGTCATTCGTGTTCATGTCCGAGAGAGAAAGTAAGCACAATGGCGTGCGTGGCTGCTGACCTTGCCCTGGCAAAGCAGACCCACAACCATGTTACCACTGCTGCCCCCTCTCGTACTATAGCCCAGAGACACCTAGGTTTTAAAGTCCCAAAACTTCTCTGAGGTGTTTGTACCCCGTGGTCGGGGACGTGCCAGACATTCCCTCACAGTGTCTTGGGCCTCCTACCATGAAGATGTGAGCATAGACCTTCGTAGGTTGCTTCCAGTTTTGAAGGCCACAAAGTGCACAGCTAGAAATAGCCCTTGGCCCATATAATGGGGAAAGAACTTGCCGCGGACCCTGTTGAGTGATCCATATAGCCAGCCAGATGGCAGTGGTGAAACCAGAGGGGGAAAGACACCTCCAGCAGCTCACCATGAGCCTCCATGGACCACTACACACAGATCCCTAGAGTTCTCAAAAAGCCAGGCTGTCTGAATCAGACATTCTCACCTTCAGTACAGCAGCTTTTGTGTGCTACTTGCCCCTGTAGGAGAAACATCTGACCATGGAAGAGCAAGTGACCCTGTAGCCAGAACTTCCCATGGTGGGCTAGATTTCCTCAGACTTACCAATAATAATGAGGACATCAGCTATTACAAGATGAAGATGCCGCATCCATGATGGACGCCAGGGAGCTCCAAGGGCACCAGTAAGCTGCCTGAGCAGGGGGCTCAGCGGTCTATGCCAATCATTGCAGCTCTACCTCTGCTCACACCTGGACTCTCAGGATGTCCCCTAGGAGCAGCTGATAGAGGAGGAAAGATGCCAAGCCTGTGTCATGGGTGAGATGACTCAGAATATGAGCACACACCAGTCTGCACCACACACATGTGAAGCCCCTCTCATAAGTGGCCTTGAAAGACAGCAGTGAACAGAAATCTTTCCAGTGGACATCTGGTCAGGTAATCCACTTGGCTTCCCAGTCCCTGTGGACAATTGGGTGTGACGTTCAAGTACAAACAGACTCGGGAACAGAAACAAACTGCTTGGTCAACTGGCTGCATTCTCGGGTGTGTCCTACCTGCACCCCACAGGCAACTCGCCCTCTTATTTTTAATGTCAAAATAAAGGAAGAGTTGCTACATATAGACATTAACTACATCCTATATTTTATATGTGACAGTGCCTACTCTGTCTTGCTTACATAAAGTAACTGCCCACCTTAGCTTTTTAACCCATGAATGGATCAATAGTAGTATAGTGGTTTTATGAGACCCCCTCAGATAGTTACGGTGAGGTTGCCAGTTTTCTGACCTTATTGTCATTCTCCTAATGTTTAGACATGCAACTCCTAACGTCTAGGAAAACAATTCAAATCCTGAGGGCCATTTCTGGCTTTTTGAGTTCCTGTCTTCAGAAAATAATGAGCTTCTATAAGCTTTAAAGGATATTTATAAAGTCAAAAGCTCTATAAGCTATGCTGTCTTCTATGCAAACAAGTTGTCCGCCTTCATCCAGAGCTTCTTTCCGTGGGTTGGCCAAGCAGCCTGAGTCTCCTCAGCTGTGTTCCGGTTCCTGTCCATGGCACGGTGAGGTCCCTGGAGCGGCTTGGAGCCCTGCCTTCATCCAGTGCTCCACTTAGCTGCGCGGGCACCTGCAAGGCCCAATTCCACCACCACCACCCCGCCCCGCCTTACAGCTCTTCTCCTACCTGGCCCCTCACAACAGAGGCACAGGGGATTATACTTCACATAGTTAAATGTGATAGATGAATAACTACCACAAACTGTCATTTTCTTAGCTGTGCTTGATGCTATGGTATTGCTGATTGTAACATTTGGCCTAACATGTTGTGATTGATCTAATCAGTTTTCCTTCCTGGTATAAG